ACTCACCTCAGCCTCCCAAGGCGCGGGATTACAGGCTGAGCCACCGTGCCTGGCTTTATCCAGAATTTTAAAAAAATAATACCTAGACAAAAAAAATCTGGCATGGAACTTCTAAAGTTTTTGTTGTATTCAGGAAAAAAACAAGGGTTTAACTGTATTCAAAAGCAGTTTTCACAGAACAGATACAGAATCAATCTCTGGGGAGGTCCTCCATGCCTGGAGACCTCTAGTTATTCTGAAGAGTCACAGAGACCTGTCATACTCAGCTACACAAGTTATGTCCGAATTTCTGGAGGAATTCAGAGCTCACGTTATAATATTCTCAATTATAAAAGAATGATACATCTTCGAGCATGAGGTCAAAGGGTTAGTACTTCCATCTAAGCGAGATAAAATGTGTTACCCATACATATTCCATAACCAGCCTTTTGAGAGAACTAATTCAGATGGCTGTTTTCTGTTGTTTTTTTTTTTCAGATTAGTTTTGACTGTTCACCATGTACCATGCATTTTACCATTTAGCGAGGTATACAGGATGATGGAGAACAGTAAGGAACATTCACAGCCTAACAGTGAACATTTGGACAAATGTTGAACAGGTAGGATAGGAATACGTAGAACATTATGTTAAAATGGTATGTAGAATATTTTAGGGTAATAAATACCAGGGGAGTAAAGGAAGACTTAGCTTTAGGGGGCAGCAGTAATAATGAAGAGAACAGGGCAAATCTGAGTTATTTGTGAAGAAAAATAACAGGCCTTCATAATAAATTAGACAAAGAAGGGCAGGCAATAAGTCAAGGGTTAACTTTACACTTTATTCAAAAGGTTTAACACCTTGCTATCAATGGTAAAGTGATCTCAAGGTCCTTTGCAACCTTCCCTGTCCTTTAAAAGAGAAACCAATGAGGTTAACATCTAGATTCTAACCATTTACTTGGTTAACAACACACATCACCACTTTCTATTCTGCATATCTTTTCTTTCTTTCTAGCCCACAAATTCCTTGGGGGCAAAATCCATGTCTGTCTCATAAAGTATCAGGGATTTAAAACTACCTAAATGCTGGTAACTCTCAAGTCTCTCTCTCCACTCCTGAATTATCCTGATACCAGGCATGTACAGTCATCCCTTGATATGTGCAGGAGATTGGTTCCAGGACCTCCCCGAGGACAGCAAAATCTG